GTGTGCTGAAAATAGGAGTGAAAGCCACGGCAAGGGTGTGGGATGAGTGATTTGTGGTGCAATGATGAAGGATGCATGAGGAATGGATGCAATGATGAAGGAATAATCTGAAAATGCATGTGAATGCATGCTGGAATTGCATGTGAATGCATGCTGGAAATGCAAATGGAGTGCACGGCATTGAGTTGTTGTTGGTGTGTTGATGCATGTGTTGAATGATTAAAGGGACATGTGGGGTGTATATGTTGCTGAAATGATAAAGTAAGAAGGTGGAAATGCATGTGTTGAATGATGGAAAGGGATTGGGAATGCAAGGCACAAAGGATGGGCTGTTTGTTTTGGTGTGTTGTGTGATTTGTTTTGTGGTTAATGGGAATGTGGTTGAATGATTAAATGGACATGTGGGGTGTAATTGCAAAGGGAATGCAAAGTGAATGAATAATGAATGCATGTGCACTGTTTTTTGGGAGAAAGGTGGCTGAATGTGCATGTGAATTAGGTTGTGAAAACATGTGGAATGTGGCTGGAATTGATGAGTAATGCACGACATTGTTGTTGGTTCTTTGGTGATGAATGCAATGATGAAATGGATGGGAGTGCATGTGGATTAGGTGGTGTAATGATGAAGTGGGAAGTGGAAGAATGTGGTTGGAAATGGCTAAGGGGATTCACGGCTAGGAAGAAGAATGAATGATGTGCATGTGTGTGAATGCATGTGGATTAGGTGGAAATAGGTGGGTGTGCATGTGAGTTGAAATGCATATGTTTAAATGGTTGACATGTGTAGATGATTATGAGTATGATAAGTGATAAGTGTATGGTTATGATAAGTGATAAGTGAATGATATGTTAAGTGATAAATGAATGATATGTGGTGAGTGATAAGTGAATGGAAGTGATAAGTGATAAGTGTATGATATGATAAGTGAATGATATGATAAGTGAATGCTTTAAGTGTTTAAAAATAGGGAACAAAGCCCTTCCTTGCATGGCAAGGAAGGGAGACACAAGGAAACACACGACAATGTCCTAAGGTTGCAAGGAATGTTGTTTTTGTGTTCTAAAATGCGTAGGAGTCTTCAATGATGCTTAAACATGAGGTCTTTTAGGATTTAACTTTCCTACTTCAAGTCTTTAATTTCGTCCATCCTCTTGGCTCCAAGCATATGATATCCATTCCAATCTCTAATTTGCTCCAAAAGGCTCCAAAAGGCATCCTTTTGCATACCTTGCCCTTAGAACCTGAAAACACACAAAAGAAGCATAAAGGACTAAAATAACTAAAGAAACATAACGTAAATGCACGAGAACAAGCCATTTAAGTCGCATGAATATGCTCCTATCAGGTGACTTGCGATACTTCGCACAACCTTCACGTGATTGTAGCACTTGAGCGTACTTATTTACACCTAGCATGTCGTACAGACCACATAAGTGGTTCTGACTCATGTGCAGGATTTGATTTGATTGTTGAGTTATTGATTCAGCCGTACAGGTCATGTTAGGTGACTCTGGCTGAGATGTCACTTTATATTAGTGCAATTCACCTGGCTTACTTATTCATGGTTGAGATAATTTTCATGGCATACACATGGTTTGGTTATTCTTGAGTATAGTTTTCATATATGTTTACCGTATTATTTTCTGGGAAACTTATACAGGTTTTACAGCGAGGGGTTATTACATTTGAAAAGATAAATGGTTTTGAAAGTTTTGTTTTTTTCCCACTCACACTTTTTGTTTTGCGCCCCTCTAGGTTCTAGATAGAAGTTCGTGTCAGTGGCTCACGAGGACTTCACGGCGGTTCTGACAGACATCCACCAGTGTAGGGTTTCTTTTATGATCTATATAATTATTACTTAGTCTTCTGGACTGCACTTCGATACCTATGCTCTGGTTGTGTGTGTCTTTACTCTAATCACTTTCATTCGTACTTATAGGCTAATCTAAGGCAAGATAACTAGTGGTTTTTATTTATTTGCATTTTCATATCATTACCACTTCCGCACAGCTAACATTGCTACGTCACCCTCACGTGACGGCCAGCATGCCTCGATTGAGGTCGGGGTGTGTCAACAATGGAAAAAGCCACTAATTTATCTCTTCATTATGTTGATTTCCTGCATTCATGAGCCCATGCTAAAGTTTCGGATCAATCCATATTGATTGACTGCCTCCATTACGTTGTTGCTAGCAAATACCACTATTTTTTATTTTGGATCTTCCAAATCATTCCAGCAGGAAGTCCAAACCCATTTTTTTCTAATCTTTTGGTAAAAAGATTCATTCTCTTCATTAAAAAATAGGAGTTACAACCCAATAAAGATTTCTTTTTTGATTCTCTTCAGTAATCCCTCCTCCATTTAAAAATTAGGCGGGTGCTTAAGCAGGTTCCAAAATTCAATTGTTGAATTTGAAGTTCTTAACCAATCAAGAGCGTTTCCTTTAACTGCAGACTTGATGCGGCGATAGATCAAGCCATAAGAATTTATAGGTTTCATGAAGTTGTTCCTACTATTTTCTAGTTCATATCTAAGTGAGATATAAGCATAAGCCTTCATCAGAGGTGATAATCAAAATGAGCATGGTGGAATTCCATTGTTCAATGAGTGATTGATGCATATAGCTAGAACAAGGTTCGTAATAGTAGGTTTGTCGTGCATGCCAATCATCTTTCATGCAAGTAGGAGATTATTGGAGTATGCTTGAAAAGAAATTGACATGGCAACATGTAATTGGTTATTCATGGCAACCCAATGTCGAGTCATCGACAACAAAATGACAAGTGAGAATATTCGTCAATCCTGCATGTGACCTAATAACGTATTAGGACAGTTCGTTATTGATTAAAATGGTCCAAATAATAACTTAAGTTGTAAGGGCGGGATTGCAAAGATGTTCCAATCTTGATGTATGTACTTTACAAATCTTAAGTCTTAACTATGTTCCTAGCCATAAGATGATCGAATAGACTATCAAACATCTGCAAAGGCCGGCTTATGTCATATTCAGTAGTGAGTCTCAGACTAAGCATGTAGTGACATAGAATAGACATAAAGCTGCTCATGTATGAGATCAAGTTCATTGAACATTGATCAACCATAGAAGTGTATGTTGGAAGCTTACTTACTTGTCAAGCATACTACACTTCTAAGTTGTTGATGAAAATGATCTCTGGTCTCACCTCAAAGTTCTCAAACGATTGCAGAACCCTGTAGTGTTTTAGGATCATGTACATCAATATGGATGTACATGAATTCACAACAAGGAATATGTCACTATCTAGGTAATCATGGAGGTTGATATTCTAGTAGCCCCTTGACGATCTATCGCCGAAATATTTGGTCAAACCAACGTACAAGAGATACATCAAGGCAATCATATTCATGCTTAGAGTCTGACAAATGTTCCATGGTTTAAAATCTACAATCGCAATATTGTAGACATGGGAACTGAATTACATTGAAACCATAACTATGGTTCTAAATATTTGTTATATGAATTCAAACATATTATAACTAATTTGTGTAGCCGAAAACCATTGCTAGATGTTACCATTCAGTTTGTGGATATTTCTAAAAAGTAGAATTATTATTATTTCTAATTGTGTAAAATTAGATTAATCAAGTTATCCATTGCCATCTTTAGTTGGAACCTACAAGGTCACACACGATAGAATGATGTCGAAGGATAAAATTGGTGAAGGTTGATTTAATATAAATTGTTCCAAATTGCCCGATGTAGAGGCAATCAAGAAAGCCGCACAAGTAAATATATGCCCAACAAAAAAAGTGGGCTAATCCAACCAATCTTGCTTGCACAATGGAAAGAGCCATTGATTTATCCCTCCGTTATGTTGATTGCTTGCATTCATGAGTGGGTTACCTATTCTGGGAATGCTCTCATCCCATACTCGCTTAACTTCGAAGTTCCTACGAAACCCGAAGCCAATGAGCTCCCAAAAGGCCTCATGCTAGGTACAGATGGGAATATACATATAAGGCTTATAGGATCTACTCCCCTGGACGATGTGGGATGTTACATCAAATCCATTATTAATGGACAAAAATGCGTTATTCGTTGAATGAGAGTCAAGAAGTACACTAGGGCGTGGCAACCCCTCCAGGGGCTGTTGTATTTTTCGGCTATATTTTAAGGGCCCATTCCAATTAAAATTCTAATTGCCATATAGGGAAGATCTTTCCAATTATGATTTGGAAAGAGTAAACTTAATTAGATTAAGATTCTTGAAATTTTATTTGGATTTAATTCCATAAAAATCTGAGTATTTGATTCTCAAGATTATTCTAAATTATTTAGGAGAAGAATTAAAATTGGATTTTGATTGGAATTCCCCATCTTGTAGGAAAGCTATTCCTACAAGAAAATTAATTAAACTATTCCTATATTATTTAATATTTAAATTAAATATGATTAGGAGAATTAAATTAAAATAAGAATAGGAAACTAAATTGGGAAAGGAAAATTTTTCCCGTCCCACTAAGTAATTTTAGCACACATAGGTTTATTGGGGTTCAGTTGGACTCTTGGCATACCACCTATATACCCTACAAATTTACATCAAACTAGAATAAAAGGGTTGAATGGTTCGCGGAAAGGGTATGCAACAAGGCCATAATTCTGGTAACCCTTTTGTACAAATACATTATTCTCCTGACCACTGTTTAATGTATCAATGCTACTTACTAATTTGATCATCAGAAAGCATTTGGCAGGGTGCCCCGCTGGTACCCAAGGTTAATCGTAGGTGTTTGCTCTTTTACAGGTAGTCGGAAATAGTCTACTCAAGGAGTACTGCTAGACTAAATTTGTAGACAAAATTTTGTAAACAAAATGAATGGGGTAGAATTTACAATTGCAATTGTAGGTGATGCCTATGACAATTGAGTTGGGGCAAAAGAATGTGCAGCACCCAAAGACGCCGTCGTTCTGGTACAGCAGTTGGATGAAATGATCATTCATTGCAGAGGACAAAAGGAGACGGCATAAATCTATAACCGTACTATTAAAACAGTATCTCTAGCAGGCAGCAGACAAATAAATGTGTTCCCTTTAAAATGGCCTTCTAAAAACTTACGAATACATTTGAGAGCGTAATATTCTCCCACAAACTTGCCGTCCATGAAAACATGGGATGGAACAGATAACCTAGTTTCTTGCACATGACTCACAGCAGTTAGAAATCAACGAGACTCCCAGTCCTTCAATTTCTTGCTTCCTTTGGGTTTTGAAATAGGTGCATTCATTCCCGCCATTTTAGCATTATACTTTGCCCGAAGAGGATCGTTGTATGTCCACCTGAAATACAGAAAGCAGTACAAAGGTGCTTGATGAGGAAGCAATTTAGTGAATATTTTTGTCGACAATAAAATAAAACAAGCAGCAAAGGTGCTTGATGAGGAAGCAATTTAGTGAATATTTTTGTCGACAATAAAATAAAACAAGCAGCAGGACCAGCATTTGTGATAATACAGAAAATAAATAGAAAATGCATGAGACTCTGTTTGCTTACATCTCAACTTTTGTTCTCCCTCAAAAAATAAAGAAAACAAAAAAAAAAAAAACAAAAAAACAATTCAATTCAATTCAATTGATGCATAACAACTGACAGTTTCCCCTCTTTGAAACTTCAAATACAAAGAAACCCAGGTGACACAACCACCAAAAATAAAAGAATACTACTACTAACATGCACCCATCTTAAGTAACAACCACAATATGACCATAACGATTTTTTTTATTTAAAATTATTATTATTATTAAGGGGATGGGATAGGGTTCGAAACTATTACAATAATTTAGGAGGGGGATGTTTCGAAACCGGGACGCATGGGTGGAAACCTAACACCCTTATTCACTAGGACATTGGACTATATGCAGAAAATTTAACTTTTTTAAAGGCTAAGCATCAAATGTTTTGGGTCAAAACTTTAAAGTATCTATATGACCATAACAGTATCAACCTAGTTTTTATATACCATGTAAAAAACTTAGCTTAAATATCCTAAATATTTGACTTCAACATAATCCAATCTATTTTACCTTTCCGTTATTCCATTTACAGCTTAAGGATCCTTGCTCACTCAATGCATATTTGGAGTCACGGAGTTGTAAGAGATGCAGATATAATTATGTAGGACACAAGAGGAAGGGAAAGGAAGTAAACAGAGATCTGGATCATGAGATCACTTACTAAAATTCCAAGGATCATTCCAAGGGAAAGATTTGATAAATTTGCAGTACTACAGCACCCCTAAACATGTCAACTAACGGTGTCTCAGACTCATTCCAAGTTCACTCAAGCTTCGCATATGAGCAAGAAAAAATCATACAAAGCTTGTATTCATTGCAATCTTGACCAATTTTAAAATCTTACAAAGTAGTTATTTTCAGAGAACTATGGAAGCGAACCAATGGAAGAGTCAAATTAATATGTTCTGGAATATTACCAGTGTTGGGTTTTTTCCAGCCCATGATAAGCTGTCCCAAGTCTATTGGGAATTAATAGTCTTAGAGGATTAAATTGTTTTCCCAATTGGAGTTGTTCACCCAATAGGAGTTAGTTTCTCAATTAGAGTAGGATTCATTAGTTTCTCAATTGGAGTAGGATTCATAACTAGTTTCCAATTAGGATTAATAATCCTTATTGAAGAAGACCTTTATTATGTCTATATAAAGGGGCTAGTGTACTAGTTTTGAATTGGAGGGAGCACAACAATAAATTGTATACCACTTTAGGGATCAGAGTGAGAGAATATTGTAAACTGTGTGCGAGAGAAAAGAAAAGAAATAGTGTATTTCTTGTTCTTGTTCTTTCAGGTTTTTCGTCAATTCCTAGTTCTAGAGATTTGGCAAGATTATTGGTTGTACTCATTATTAATATAGTGAAAGATTGTTGTTGCTATCCCGTGGACGTAGGCACATATTGCCAAACCACGTAAATTCTTGGTGTTATTTATCTTGGTTATTTGTTTTTCGATTTCTGGAGTTTGTTCTTGTTTTTCCCATTCTTAAACGTGATATTCTCAACAAGTGGTATCAGAGCCTGGTTTGGGTGATATCCGTTTAGAATGCAGGGTGCAATTATGATGAAACTAACCCGCTCCCACTGGGTTACATGGAAATCAAGAATGGAGGACAAGCTTTATTGTAAAGATCTCCATGAGCCAATTGAAGGTATTAAGAGCAAGCCAGCAAGTATGTCTGATGTTGATTGGACCAAGATGAAGATAAGAGATGTTTTCTGGCAAAGAAGTCTATAATTGCCTTTGCCAATGAAGATGAGATGTTCGATCACATGGAGTCTGGTCATGGGTATTGCGATCAGGAAGAGCCTGGTTAAGAGAAGTCTAATCAAGAGGGTCTTGGTTAATGAGTAGTTCGATCAAGGGGAGCTTGATTATGGGTAGTTCGATCAAGGGGAGTCTGGTCATGAGAAGTTCGATCAATGGGAGTTTGGTCAAGAGGAGCAATCCTATTTTGGGGGGGGGGAGATTGTTGGGTTTTTTCCAGCCCATGATAAGTTGTCCTAAGTCTATTCGGAATTAATAGTCTTAGAGGATTAAATTGTTTTCCCAATTGGAGTTGTTTACCCAATTAGAGTTAGTTTCTCAATTGGAGTAGGATTCATAACTAGTTTCCAATTAGGATTAATAATCCTTATTGAAGAAGACCTTTATTATGTCTATATAAAGGGGCTATTGTACTAGTTTTGAATTGGAGGGAGCACAACAATAAATTGTATACCACTCTGGGGATCAGAGTGAGAGAATATTGTAAAGTGTGTGCAAGAGAAAAGAAAAGACATAGTGTATTTCTTGTTCTTGTTCTTTCAGGTTTTTCGTCAATTCCTAGTTCTAGAGATTTGGCAAGATTATTGGTTGTACTCATTATTGATATAGTGAAAGATTGTTGTTGCTATACCGTAGACGTAGGCACATATTGCCGAACCACGTAAATTCTTGGTGTTATTTATCTTGGTTATTTGTTTTTCGATTTCTGGAGTTTGTTCTTGTTTTTCCCATTCTTAAACGTGATATTCTCAACAACCAGAGCTAATATTCTTTTTGATACCCTAATGCGTCGCATGCATATATTATTCTATTCGAAGTAATTACCGATTAGTTGATGATTATATCTAACTATCTGAGCCGATATACAAGACTAAAGCTCATGAAGTTCCCCATGTATACATTCATATTTTACTAATTTACTCTCTAACCAATGATATCTAAAGGTTTTATTGACCATTCAGCCCTTCAGTCCTTCATTCATTTCAAATAAAGTGTAGGGGAGATGATACAAACATAACACGTCCTTAAGAAAACAAACAAACATAACAGTGCTTAAGGTGCTACCATTAGAAAACAAGTAATACAGTAGTTCTTGCCGTATCCAATGAAGTTAGCGCATATAAGAAAGTGGTTAAAAAACATGGAAAATTCAGTAAGGAAATTGAACTTACGGATTGTTCCAATCAGTGGTATCCTCATTGACAAGATGGGTCCATTTCGTCCTTCCACTACGACCAAAATGTTTGACCTGCATGACCTTGGGCAATATCGTTTTGTCCATCTTGTCTTCTCCAGTAGGGGAAGAGACATCACGTGCATAAATTCCATCTGTTCCAGCCGTTGCCGCATAGTCATCAGCTTCTGACTGGAAGAAAGCACCTTTGTGGTAATATTTCTGCATGAACCTCCACTTCTGCTTTGGTCTTGGTGCAGGTCTTGGATTCTTTCTCTCCCACTCCCTCCTCTCTTCCTCTGTCATGTTTCTGACCCTTTCAATCTCTTCCTTTTCCTTTAACATTGCTTCCCTATCCTCCCTATCCCTTTTGATTCGGGCAATCTCTCTTGCCTTCCAAGCTTCATACTCCTCTGCCTCGTTTAGTTCATCATCAGTATCAATATCTTCAATATTTGCTTCCAATTCCAAACCCTTCTGAATCTCTTCATCCTTCCGAATCTCCTCAACCACAATCTGCTTTGTCTCTCTCTTCCTTTCCTCCAATTTCTTCTTCCTTGATTCCTCAAGGGCCCGTTCTTCGGCCTCAAGTCGCTCACGCTCAGCAATAGTATCTCTCTCCGACTTGGGAACAAAGACAGGCTTTAGCATCACCATACCAGTAAGCTCTTCGTCCGAGTCAGTGTCATACTCAGATTCCTCTTCCTCCTCTTCCTGTACCTCTTCCTCATCTTCGGAGGGAAGTAGTTCTTCTTCTTCTTGCTCCCTCTGAAGCAACCTCTCCCTAATCTTTCTTCTTCTTTCTTCCTGGGCATCTGCATCCTCTTCCTCTGCTTCCAACCCTTCCTGCCTCCTGGCCTCCTCTTCAATTGTTGAAACAATCTCAGCTTGCCGAATACGCCTATGGTCAGCTCTAACATCCTCACGATTATCTATCCTGCTCTCAGCCAAACGACGCAGTCTAGGATCATCTTTCCTAACAACGTCAGAATCATGAGTGGGAAAAGCAGCTGCCTTGGACATCTTAAACTCCCCATCTTCGTCGGCATCATCTGCCCACTCCGGAGCTTTTCCAGGCCAATACCTTTTAACCTTAGTTTGCCCAATTTTACCTCTGAGCTTATCCCTTACTGCAATAACAGTATCGCTTACACCTGCTGTTACCGACATTTTTGCGCTTTATAAACACCCGGGCGTAAAAGACTCAACGTACCAGCAGAAAACTCTATATCCTTCGCTCTTTCAACTCCTACCAAGCAAATTTCTTAATCTCGATTACAAACTGGTAAGAGAAAGAAAAAAGACAAAATTTTAGCCCAAAAAATTTGAAAATTTTACGACCAATTAAGAGACTAATGAAAATTAAGCAAAATTCAGAGGGAAATACGGTAAAGCAACATCACCCAAATACATAGATGCACAATACATGAATTCCAAGGGTAAAAAAAATGGAAATTGAAACAGAAAAACCTGAATTTCAACAGCAAGCAACGCTTAAGCGGTGATAATTTCGGTTGAAGATAATCGATTTAAACTGGACAAAAAGCCCTAGTTCGGCGATAATAAAAAATTAAAACCCTAATCCGTAGATTCAGAGAGGAATACAAAACCCTAACAAATTGATGAGATAAAACAGAAGAGTAATGAAAAAATCATAGAAATTACGAAGAGAAACAAGAGAACACGATCAAAGAGAAGGAGACATACATGGGAGAACGAGTACGCAGGAAGAGGAGGAGGACGAAGAAGAGGATGTTGCTCCGGTCTCGTGTATGTTTTCAATTTTTTTGTTGGGCTATATTTTAGAAAACGTCTAAATCGGACCAAGGCGGTAAAATGGGCCACAGCTCAAGTCCAAAATTCCAAAATTTGAGCCTGAGCTAGACTGTTGTTCGACCCGGCCCAATTATGTTTTATTCGAACACCACTTGATAGCAAACATCCAATTTTACTCTTTCAGAGCGATATTGTGCAATTTGATAACTAGTTTTACTTCTTTTTTTTTTTAACCAACGATATTATCTACAGTAAGCGGTGGGGAACTGGGTTAAGCTTCACAATGGACTAGTAATAATATGGTTTAAATTCGTCTTTGACGAAAATAGAACCAAAGACCTCTAACTTACAAGTAAAAAAGAATATCATTAGACCGTAGTACTAAGTGGCTATTCTTACCTTAATATATTGTTTTTGTAACAGCCCGTCCCGGACTTTTCATACCGTAGGGGCGAAATGACGGTTTTGCCCCTAGTATTTTTTTGTTTCGTTGTGTGGTTATTTTGGGGGTTTTGGTTGGCTGTTTTGGACCACACACACACACCCACACTCACCCTCATCCTTTCCCTATCCCGTATCTGTCTCTCTTTTGCCCTTTTTCTCCATTTGTACGGACAAGACCCATTGTGCTCGAAAACATCACGGATCGAGGAAGAAAACTACATATTTGTGCTCGTGAGGTCCTTAGGAGTTAAACCATACCCATTTCAGTAAGGGAACCTTCATTTTCACGTCGAACCCAAGATGCTCAATTCGGGGTACTGTTCATGCACACGTAAATTCATGTGTTTTTGGGAATTTCAAGCTTATAGGAAGCTTGGTGAGGTCCTTAGGAGGCTCGGGGTGGTTCGTTTGAAGGTTTTGGCCGTCGGGATCGTGAGTTGCAGATTTGGCCGGATTTAGTGGAGTTTTCCCGGCGAGATTCCATTGGTTTTAGTGCTTGAAAGTGGTAAGGATTTGTTCCTCTAGTTGTAAGCTTCATTTTGGTACCAATTACATGAAATTTGGGTGAAAAACGAGTGAGATACGAAGTTTGGAAATTTTCTAGGTTTTTCGGCGACGGCAACGGCGCCGGAGTTTGGCCGGAAAAGACGACGGAATATTCCGTCAGTTTGGATGGAATATTCCGTCAGTTTGGATGGAATATTCCTAATGGCGTTAACGAAATCTGTTAGACTTAACGGAATATTCCTGACGACGTTAACTGACGCCATCAGTGTGCCAGGCACGTGCCTGCACGTGGGTGGCGCGTGTGGCCATGCCTTGGCCGGCGCATGCGATGTCAAAAAATTATTTTAAAAATATAGGGATGTTCGTGAGGTTCAGTAAATCACGTTGGTGTATTCATACACCCCATTTGAGCATTGTATGAGAAGTTATTTCGTAATGATGGTTATGTGCTTTAAAATTAACGTTTGTATGGTTGTTTCGCATATAGGCGAGACCTATCTCGAGGACGAGCACAGTCACTCGAGGCAAGAGGGTTACGACCCTTCTACATACCAGCGAGTGGGCTTTTGGTTTTCCGTATATACCTATATACTTGTGTTTTCCCCAGAAAGTGAAATGAAACGTCTATATGTTTTATATGCCATGCATTATGTTTGCCTGTTTAATTATGCATTATTAGTTGCATATATATATATATATGTTTGGTGTTGCGGATGTACAGGTAAGTTCCAGGTAAGTTATGGTTTATTTTTATGTTTAGTAGTGATTTGCAATGCATAGAGAGCTCATAACCTGCACCCCCGGTGTTAGTGCTTCCGCCCAGAGTAGGGCACAGTCCTTCACGTGATGTTCACCTCCCGCACCACACGCTCATCTTGGATCCAAGTTAAGTGCACAGTCCTATCATACAGACCACTATAGGTGGTTTCGACTCGTAGGTGACCCGCGATTATTCGCCCTGTCTTCACGTGATCGTAGCACTTGAGCGTATTTATTTACAGCCAGTCCTGTTGTACAGACCACTTTAGGTGGTTTCGACTCGTGTGCAGGTATAATTAGTGAGTTGGGGATTTAAGCTCTAGATTCAGCCATACAGGTCATGTTAGGTGACTCCGGCTGACAAATTACGTGGCATTGATTGACATTACCTTAGTACTTGCATTTGTTTAGAGACATTAGACATGGCATATTTCTGAGCATGTTTATGTATATATGTGCATATTTTATTTTATGGAAAACTATATAGGTTTTACGGCGAGGGGTTAGTACTTTTGATATTGAAATGATTTGCCCACTCACACTTTCTGTTATGCGCCCCTCCAGGTTCTAGTTTAGATAGCACTTTTGGTGCCTCCCCAGAGGATTCTCAGCATATCTGATAGATTATCACCAGTGTAGGACCACCTTTGGTTGTGTTTATTTAGTGTTTGTTCCCCTGGACTACACTAGGTCTTTTATGCTCTGAAAATTATTTATCACACTTACGCTTGCACATGTTTATCATTTACTTTGTGTATAGCTAGGTTTGTATTTATTCGTACTATTATTATTATTTCTTAGCTTTCACACAGTGCACATGGTTACGTCACTTTCACATGACGGCCAGCATGCCTTAATCTCGGTCGGGGCATGTCAGTTTGGTATCAGAGAATAGGTTTGGCAGTCCTGTACTTTTGTGAGTATTCTAATGGTTTTGGTGTCTTTTGTCAGAACTATGCCGTCTCCTAGGGAACCAAGTCGCTCTGCTGAGCCTAGTTTCCCCGATGTAGCTCAGCTGGGGGAAGCTATCGCTACAGCTATTCTGTCAGCGCTCCGCCCTCCCCAGAGGACTCCTCTAGAGACTATGTACAATCTGAAGCTGGATAAATTTGAGGGCCACGAGGGTTTTGAGGAAGCAGAGCGGTGGCTAAAACATATTGAGAAGACCTTTCGTGTTGTGCATAATTAGGGGAATCTCCCTGTTGAGACGACATCTTGGTTTTTGGGTAAGATTCTGCATCCTGGTGAGAGCAGGAGGTTCGTCGTTTATCCCCAGAGGAGAGGACTGATTGGGAGGTATTCAGAGAGCTGTTTAGGAGAAGGTTTGTGCCTCCTGAGTATGTAGACCGTAAAAAGTAGGAATTCACTAAGTTAAGGCAAGGGAAGTTGACGGCGAACGAGTATTACCAGAGGTTTACTGATCTGTCTCGCTATCATCCGGATGTTGCTGGCAATCCGGCAAAGATGCTTCGTCATTTCCGTTTAGGTACTAAGAAGAAGTGGCGTTCGATGGCGACCACTACCCCTTGTGACACCTACCAGGAGTTCTATGAGATTCTATTGAGGATTGAGGATTCCGAGAACATGCCCAGTGAGAGTGAGGAGGAAGAAAAAGATGGTAACCAGAGGAAAGATGACAAGGGCAAGGGTCAGGCATCGCTCAGACCTCGCAAAACCCAGAGCTTTAAGCGGGGTGGAACCAGTTCTAGTTCTTCTAGCGGTGGTTTTAGTGCCACTGGTCAGGGTCACGGTGGTAGATTTGCTGGTAGTGCTAGATGCCAGAGGCAGGGTGATGCTAGTAAAGGAAGGGCTCCGGTTTACCACAAGTGTAATAATCGACATTTTGGAGAGTGCAGGAGAGGCAGTGGTGGTTGCTTCACTTGTGGGCAGATGGGACATTGGGCTGCAAATTGTCCCTAAAGTCAGCAGAGGCCCCAGCAGTCTTTCTTGCCACCACCTACGCCGATCCAGCAGATTTTTAGCCCTGGTAGTTATGGGCAGTCGGGCCGTGGTGATGCCTATCACTATCAGGGTGATGCAATTCCGTATGCCCCAGGACTGTATTCATATCCCCAAGATCCATATTCTCAGGGTGGTTATCCCCAGTATTCTGGTGGCTATATGCCGTATCCTTCAATTCCAGCCAGTGGGTCTCAGTGGTACCAGGGAAGACAGCTTCAGCAGGGGGAGATCGCTGCGAGTAGTGCGGGATCTTCGAGACAGTTTGGTCAACCCAGTTAAGGGCATAGTGCACAAAGTCGTGGTGGTCAGACGAGTAAAGGTCGTGGTGGACGACAGCAGACCCAGGGGCGTGTTCACAATATCTCTTTGCAGGATGCTCAGAATAATCCAGATCTGATCATGGGTACGTTAAATATCCTTGGTTATTTTGCTAGAGTATTAATTAACTGTGGTGCTACATATTCTGTGATTTCTCATACATTTGCTCAAGTGATGCAACCTCACCCTACACATCTAGGGTATGATTTAGAGTTTGCTATGCCTAAAGGGGAGAGATGTATTGTTGATTGTGTGTACCCAGGATGTCCAGTGATGGTGGAGGATGTTATTATGCCAGCTGATCTTATCCCGTTGGATATTGTTGACTTTGATGTGATTTTGGGCACGGATTGGTTGCATTTCAATCGTGCCAATATTGATTGTTATGGGAAAATAGTTACCTTCCATCGTCTTAGATTACCTGTGGTTACTTTTGTGGGTGAACAGAGTGGGGTGATACATGACGTTATTTCTGCTATGCGAGCGAAAAGGTTGTTATCGAAAGGTTGCCAAGGATACTTAGCTCATGTGGTATTGGACGATGATGCTCCTTGTAGTGTGGAGGATGTAAGGGTAGTCAGGCATTTTCTTGATGTTTTCCCTGAGGATTTACTTGGTTTGCCACCAGACCGAGACGTGGAGTTCACCATTGACTTGCTTCTAGGTACTAATCCTATATCTTTGACTCCTTATCGTATGGGTCCTGCTGAGTTGAGGGAATTGAAAGTTCAGTTGCAGGAATTAGTGGATAAGGGTTTTATTCAGCCTAGTACTTCACCTTGGGGAGCTCCAGTGTTGTTTGTAAGAAAGAAAGACGGAACTTTGAGGCTATGTATTGATTACCGGCAATTGAATTAGGTAACGATTAAAAACCGTTATCTATTGCCGCGTATTGACGATTTGTTTGATCAGCTTTGAGGTGCCTGTGT